ATTCTTACAGGACTGGACTGTAAATCAGCGCTAAATCAAGCTTCTAGCTTGGCCCCTTTGAAATTTTCGAAAAAGATCGTGAGCATTTTGTAGTCCCAAAAAAACCGAGGACACATACTTCAAAAGGAAAAAAACAGAATCAGCTGCATTTTGGTCCACTAATCGGGAAACATAGCACCTAATCATATTAGAGAACTATTGTCATGTGAAAAGTTGATCTGCGGTAATGATGAAGACTAAAGCTGTGGTTAAGAGCCGGGCTTTCAAGTAGTCATTTCGAACTAAGTTTGAGAAATCTCGCGATCTTAGGGAGCATATTCATGCGTTTTAACAGAAACGGAATATCCGTAGACAACTTGCGAAGAACCAGTCAGCACTACCAACATCATGAAACCGCTCAGCCTGTGGATGTACCTGCATGAGCATAGTCGAATTTGCAGGAGTCAGTGTTTTAATAAAGCGCCGACGGCCTAACTGAGGAAGGCCTTTCTAATGCCTGACGATGAGTGTGCGTCTCTACTGTGATTTTGCCGCTCAATTATCTAACGAATGTGACACAACCGATTTTGGACGTCATCGGAGTACAATATCATAGAACACTGTATGGCAGTTTGAGTCATTGTGCTGAGAATGTTGAGAATGTTTCAGCAACCTTATGTGTAGTCCATTGTGTCAACAAATTCCCGTCAGTTTTAAGTTGAATGGTTGTTGTCAGCAGGTCTGTAAGAAGAAACTTCTCTGAACCTAACGCACCGGGGTTCATATACGTAGTCAAAAACATAGTTGAGTGAAAAGAAGCTCTGATGAAACCGCTAACTGTAGAAAGAAAATTAGAAGATAGTTGTAGAGTCTTCAGTTAATGGGCAAGTAGCGGAAGACGATATTCTCTTCGTCAGCCAGAGTACAACATCGCTGTTCACAATTGATGCTTCTCCATCGTGCAAGCATAGAATTATGGGAATCCTGGCTGTACGCGAGCTGAGCTACTGCCGCGGTGTCACAAACCAGAAACCAAGGTGATTAGGGCTCTCATCTAAAGCTTTGACCTAAAAGCTTAAAATCTTTTTGGCGAAAAAGAATGTTGCATTAAATTCTCTAAAGAACAAGTGGGCATGCTTGATGCCCCTCTCTGGCCCGGAGGACCAGGAGAATACTTTGGTCAGACCTCTAACCATTTGCCGGTACGGTATGGCAGCCTCTTCAATTGCTACACGAGCATCTCAATGAATACAGGCGTATATAAAACGATGAAAAGTAACTTAGAGAAGAGGGCCTAAGCAGAATGACAATGATTTACAACATGCACTACGGACAAACAGTCGTTGGTTTGTTCGATAAGCTAGGCGGTTGGTTGCAGGTCGAGGTGATGTCATCAGTGCGTTGGGGTTAAAGGGACTACCAAAATCAACGGACTTCCACTCACAACCAATTGATGATGCCATCTGACCTGGTGATGGAACTTCTGCAACCAAATTGCCAGGCTCAGAAAAGAAACCAACGGCCATCAGTACAACTCGAGCTACCAATATCAATTGCAAATAATCAATGAGTCTGACTGTCCTAAATCTTGTGAGAGTTTATGGTCTTTTCCTAGCATTAGTTGAAATATGGCTGCAATATCGATCTTTCATACTGCGTAAATTCAAAATCATTTAGAGCCCGGTTAGGGATGGAAAATGCTACAGGTACCTCAGGATAAGGCTCCGTAGTTTTGGCCATGTATGGATAGGTGCTTCCAGGAGGCTGATTTGAACTCGTTTTTAATTGTTCATCAGTCAGTGCCTGTTTTGGTCGGAATGCTTGAGTGGAATGCTCGGGGTCATTAACCTGGCTTATCAATAACACCCACTAACAGGAACTTTCCGTCCGAAGTTTCTCAGAATTGTCGGTTGTTTTATTGAACTGTGTGATTGGCCATTCCGGCAAAAATTTGAATACCGTCAGGTTGCTGTGAACGGCATAGGAGCGATATATAATCAGAAGAAGAATTCCAGCCAGCCGTTAAAAACACTTCCCTTTACCCATTTTAATAGCTTGGGTTCAAGTAGTCTATTTCTGCCCTTTCTTAGCACCTCTACATATCCAAACTGCTGATTGTGCAAATGATCTCTACTTGTAACCCCAGTCCGGTGACCCCTTATCTAGTCCGCAGGTACTGTAACCTATGGTCCGTTTTTTACTTGGATTTATAGTATCAACAGGTAGAGAAACTGAACTGCAGATTTACAGCTCGCAGTTAGAAAAGTACAATCTTCCGAACAAAGTACGACTGGCGCAAAAGATTATGCGAAGCGCGGTTTTGCAAATTAGTCGGAACCCGTATGATGTCCAAGGTCGCTGGGTATGTCATGCAGCAAAAGCATTTGCGGTATCAACTTTACTTTTTGAGTTTTGCAGTGGTTCGTACCCACGGCTGACTTGGAATTTGGTTAAAAGCCATTTTCTGGAGTTGGCACTACTGTAAACTTAAGTGGAGCGTTACCAGATTTCAAAGAAAGATATCCAAAAACGTAATGAAAAAAAACCATACCCTTTGGGAACCTAGGATTCACCTCGGTTGTTGGGGAAATCAGTCCGTCGATCGAGAAACCAAGCGTTCTGATTGCATTTGAAGGTATACTACATTTTTTACAAGATGTACCTCGGTTCTTACTAAAAATTAAATCAGAATTTACTGATTTGACTACTGGACCGAGATTGTGAGCCTGGGTCCATTCCGTTCAGCCACACCGTATAACGGGATCACTTAGAATGATATGGTTGAGGCAAAACTAGAAGTTGAGATAACTAGATGCCGCCAGGTGCAAACCAAAGCAAAATCTCGTCTGACTGAAAACATTGAGGGGACCACTACATGCGTTTTGGGAAACAAGTGTTCAAGGATGATGTGCTTGTAGCCTACGATATCGACAACGTAACACGTAGGAAGTGATAAACCAGGGACCATGAGCCAAATTTTCAGAGACACCTAACCATCCTTCTGGGTATCCGACCTCATTTCGTTTGGTTGGACTGGGTGATACATTCACGTTCAATTGTGCTGGTGCTTGTATTTCACTTTGTACCATATCGGGTCAGATTGATGCTACCCTATGGAAAGTGACAGGTGGATGTTTTGGGGGAAATCACAGGGCAACCTGCTTTGTGGGGCTTATGTTCTACCTGGCTGGTCGCGCACCAGGAAATATACATCAGTGGTAGACTTTCTCCATCGTTGTGCGACGGAAATAAGATGCATTAAGAGCAAAGATAGATGGTGGCTCTTCTCTACGCAATCACTTTAAGTCCACCCGCATTTGTGTATCGACTCTTGGCTTCACATATTTATTATCTATGAAAACGGTAATCCTTATTAAAGAAAAAGATCACGGAGAAAGGAAATTTTTGGTTTCTCATTGAAAGGTGGATTTTATGGATCTGTTGCCCCCTGTCCGGGGAAGCAATCTCGTTTCAGGAGAAACCCTTCAGGTAGGATGGTCGTGATGTATACTGACACGATTCCATAATCATTTCTATGTATTCGAATTGTTACTTAACACTTCGCACAACTAGTCGTCTTCTGTAGAAACCCGTTGCCCTGTTACTTAACTATTGGCGAAGGAGAGCGACACAGTCAGACTCCAGTTTTGCGACTTGCTACTGAATTGTACGAGGAAAAACCTCTCATCTGTGGATGTTTCTCAACCCTATTTCTTGTGATAAGTACCGTTGTGACTTAGCCGCGTGTGCGGCAGGGTAGAGACAGGACCATTGGTTGGGAACTGGTCCCCATCAGACTCCATGTTGATCCAATAGGAAACTGTTATGCCAAATAATGTATGCTCAGGTGAGTTGTTCCAATTCGAGTTTCTGCGCACTTGCTAGCCGTGCCGTCCAACTTCACTTGCTTAAGAGTGAAACATAGCAAGATACAAAAGTAACGCAACGTAAACAAGTCCTCGGTCCTTTGTGCTCCGAAAAGTAGAAGTATAACCAAAACGAAATATCAAAATACGCCAATTATCGATTGATATACACCGTAGAAACCGACACTTGTGGTTTGATTTTGCTGGTTGTGTATTCTGGTAGTTTATCGGAATGCGGGAAACCAGGAGAGCAAAAGCGAATGGTCCAAGTCTTTTGAATGATAGTTACACTACTTTGTAGAAATAACCCACTAGAAAGCCACCTGTTTACTCGTTTTTTCTGTTTTCAGTCTTCTGTGGCTCTTAAGGTGCTAATTTTTACTACTCAAGTACCCAAAGTATTCCAGCCAAAGAGGCGATCCTTGTTTTATTTTGGACGACGTAAATGGAACCGGTGACCAAGTTCATCGGTCTATCAGAATTTATCCATTGAATGCCTCCTTTTCAAGCAAGTTTTGAAACAAGACCCCATTGATGTCCCATCTGACAAACGGTTTACTTGACGATTCATACATTTAACCGATTGCCTTTCGAAGCAAAGGTAGGAATTTATTTGAGGAATACAGTACAGTTTGAGGATCACCTAAAGGGATATTGATTCTAGGTGCACCACAACAAGCTGAATCTCTTCTCGAACACTTGTTCGGGTTTATGAAAATAGTTGCGCTTGTCTCCCAGTTTTCGACGGAACCATGTCAATCATCGACCGTACACAGTGCATTCGGATTAATTTTTTTGACGAGATTCTTCTCGTTAGAAAAAGAAATTGGGAAAATATGTCGAGAAACAAGTTTTGGTTCCTATGTATTGCTGGTTCAGAGGTTTTTTTGAAAAGAGAGACAAGTGGTTATTAAAACGAATCCATAAACGCAACGTTAGCTACAGTTTGTGGAATTCAGCTCTTTTTAGCCTGACCGGTATCCAGTAATTCTCAGCCCAGCCAAGAGTTAATATAGCTATTGAAATTAAGTGCACTATCTTCCGCAGCCTACATAAAAGCAAAGTTATGAAAGCAGCAGACAAAACAGATAGAATATCTGCTGGTTAATGGAGTGTCAACGAATGTGCAGAATTGTCAAATCGATCGGAACTCACATTTGGGGCTGTAAGTCTGGAGTCTCGCCATCCTCGGACTCCACATTTTCATCGAGTAGTCTCACAACTTCCGCTTCAGATGCACGGTTTACTGAGTGTGGAAGTTTTGGCGACAGACTGTTTTGAGCACCAGCGGACTCGTGAATACTGGAGCTGATTATCAGCGCGGAGAGAAAGCAATACGCTTCACAGACTAACATAATGTACTCGGCAAAATGTGGAGACTTAATTATCCTGAAGGAGGGCACATTGATCCCGCTTGTGACTACTGCTCACACAAATCAAGTGGTATTCTGGCAAACTGTGGACTGGAATTTGCACAGTTTCAGCTGTGCAGTACGAATTGGCGTGCGCACGACAAATGAGACCACCATTGATCAACCAATCAAAATTCGGTATTCACGTGTTTTAGTGCGTCACGTTGGTTTGAGCAGAGTTCCGGAGTTTGCGATTGGCCCACTGCCACACATGCCATACTGGCCCACCGGCACAAAGTGTTGTTTGCATATGGAGAGATAACCGAGTGTTTGACCTCGCCACTATTGTGCAGCAACCGAGATTCGTCTTGCTCATGCCAACAAGTGCTAATGTTCACAAGTGTGTCTGCTCTAACAATGTTTGTCTTATACATCTGTCTGTGTGTATATAGAGACGAGAAATAGCATTCCGAGCAGATGGACAACAAAATCACGCAAAGACCAAATCAATAGTTTACTATGTGATGAGCGTTAACTTCGAGCTGCTACAGAGAAATTTCAGTAATGGCGAAGCAGAAATTATGTGAAAATAGAGCCGGTAACGTGGGAATCACCTATCTCAATTTTTATCTATAGATATTCCGCACGGTTCCATGTCCTTATTTCGGGAAGGACAGTGTAGCATGGGAAATGTATTACAGATATCCATTATGTCGAACATAAAGTTGTTTGGTTAATTCTGACAGAGTTCGTGTTTCGACGACTTCAAAATTATCTAGTCGATAAATCAGCGTAGTACAATCAGAAACATGTAGTTTACTAGAATTCAGATGAAGTTTTCTGGGTCTTCAGATTCCTTGATTTGCACCGACATTTTCACCTGTTGCGCCTTAAAACTTCATCTTGCAATCAGGAGATTATCCTTTCATCTTTTTCTATTCTAAGCGTTGGTCTCATTTTCACCTGTCAATTGCCTATTCATTTAAATGCCACCCTCTTGGATTGAAATAAATTTTTTTCCGTAATAAATAAAGCTACCTTTACTTTGCTCTGTGTTTTCTTTTGCCCATGGTAATTTACTTATGCATATTGCCAAATCTGAGTAAACATCCCCTTTGCACTTAGTGCAGTGTTAATTTACCCCCATTCGACGATACAACTAAGGAATGTAAACTCGTTACAAATTTCAGGAAAGGTGTAGTGCCGAACCCATTGTTAATTATGTTTATAAATGTATTTTCCGTCAATGACATCATTAAAAATAGCTAGAACTCCATAATTATCGGTCAGTTAACCAGAAAAGCACGAACTCATTGGCTGTTTGTGGTCACTTCGACATCATCACCAACATCATCGTCATGCAGTAATATACAGCTGAAGCACCAGTATCGTACTCACTAATTTCACCTGCTTCATTAGTAATCACTGATCCAGGTATTTATGTCGTCTCACGTGTAAATTTCCCTCACTAAATTTATTGTATTTCGTCGACGTAGCAGTGGCATAATGTATACTTATTTGATGTCCCAAAGTGATAAGGTGAATTACCTGTCGATCCTTACGTCGACCGTTTCATGGGCAGTATCAGTCGATCGACTTCACAAGCTTGTCCTCATGTGCAATGTTCGACCGAAATCTGAGCAAATCACATTTTGGATCAGTGGTGAAAAAAAACAATGAGCTACATGCCAGCGCTGGTTTGTAATCCACATCGTGATCGATCGCGGCGATAGGGGATTATGGATTAGGCGCAGTACAAATTCACATTGCTTCAGTAGCATTTAGGTCAGTACAGTGGTTATGGTGTCACTGGAATGGGCAAACTGGTCGGCGTCAGTCGGCTACGGTGCGACCCTAAATAGATATAGGTGGGCAGTGTTCTGCTGATTGACATTTGTGGGAAGTAATAGCCGCAATCTGACCTGTCCTACTTTGTGGATGAGAGAAGCGGTTGCTGTGTGCGTACGAACTTCGGAGACCCTATGTTTGAACATCGGTGCCTCAGGAGCAATATGCGGACCCACAGGAAACATTCGGTCACTGGGAAAGTTCACTTTCCTTCAGTGGATCATTTGGTCACACTCCACAGCTTACGCTGGTTGGGCCATGTGCTTTGTAAGCCACAGGACCTTCGGCTTATAAAGCTTTCTTTATCCAGCCTTGTATTAGATGGACACGACCCAGGGATGTTCAGTACATGACTTGGCTATGAAGCAGGAAAGCTCTAAACTCAATCACTTTGCCAACTACCGTCCCCCGGGTGTGACAGCGGAACAAGACAAACCAATGGCCATTGACCGTGACAGACATAGCTGTTCCACGCGGCCAGTTGCATGGAATGAAAGGAACTGAACTGAACTGAACTGAACTGAACTGAACTGAACTGAACTGAACTGAACTGAACTGAACTGAACTGAACTGAACTGAACTGAACTGAACTGAACTGAACTGAACTGAACTGAACTGAACTGAAAGGAGAGGAACTGAACTGAACTGAACTGAACTGAACTGAACTGAACTGAACTGAACTGAACTGAACTGAACTGAACTGAACTGAACTGAACTGAACTGAACTGAACTTGAACTGAACTGAACTGAACTGCAGTGATGGGAGTATTATCATTTAGGGTTACATGTTTGTTGTTGACCATTTGCTGGTGCATGCACTATAAGCTGTACCAATGGAATAATGTAGCTGCGGCTTAGATATTTGGGTATATATCCAAACTAAATATGGGGCTTAAATTGTTGCCACAACTTAGTGGAGTAAGACGTAATCCGACATTTGGCTGCCCGAGCCGATCTTGGCCCGGAACTTTTAAGCTCGGTCAACCAAAAGTTTGTTAGCATAAGGAAATGAACGTGACCTTCAAATCGCGTGAGCCCTACCACACTCAACTCAATAGAGATTCAGAAAACGATAGTACATGCCAGGGCCGGAGAAGTGGACGCTGATATTTCCCGGCCAAACAACGACTTTGGATCCTAGATGTCACCAGTGGCAGTTGTTCAAGACTACAATATGTAGGCTAACTACGGACTACGAAGACTAAATAGGAGTCTATCACTAATATTGAATATTTGAGTAAATTCAGTGAAAGCAGCAGATTCTAATCACATTGAATTACCTTGACTTTGCTTAATGCGGTTAAAGGACTAGTGGTCTACGTGTAATACGCTACTCATAAAGTTGCTGAAAACTTTTCGGCAGCCCCTGACCGGCTTCTCCCTCCTTGGGTCTCATCAGACAGACATAGTCTCCGAGTTTTCGTCCAAATTGCACGAAATGAGCGAACTAAACTCGTTTGATGGAAGATTCACCTGGAACCCATCTGAACCAGTCGGTGTATTTGAGCAACTGAACGTGGTGCACAAAAACCCAATAAACGAGACATTCAGCTAGGTGCCAGGTGAGTCTCCTTTTAAAACCAACTTGGAATGCAAAAGTGTGTATTTGCCGAAATCCAACCGTTTTGGTTCACAAATAACATGAGGTTAACGGAAACTTAGGGGGACTGGGCCTACTTGATGGGCCTCATGAAGGACGAAACTGCCCGTGGGCTGTCGAAAGGCTTTCAGCAACCTTATAAGTCATGTATTCGGTCTATACACTGCATCGCAACACCTCGAATATCGTACCGACCCAAACGTGAGGTGGCCTGGTGCAGCACATTCAGTTGCTTGAGAAAACCATAGACGAGACGTCTAGCTGGGTTCCAGGTGACCATCCCGTCAAAGCCAAATCGGTATGCAAATGAGTCTATTTTGACAAATAGTCTACTAATTCAGACAGCGAACAGCTATAAATTTGCATTAGGCCTAGCAGATTTAGAAAAGTCCTTTCATTTTAAGTGCATCCCTTGAAAGAGATTTCAATTTTCCATGACATTTGTTATTCAGTGTAATTTTGTAGTTAACCAGTGAACACGAAAAGTAAAACTATGTGGGATACCTTGGACAACTGCTGAATTCTCGGCTAAAGCAAAGTAGGAATCACAAAACCAGCTTAACCCCTGAATCACATGAGATGAGGCTAACTTCCGAAGACAATCTTCACTAAAGGGAGTGGGGACCCAGATAGGTCTACAAGTTTCGATCTGCTAGCAGCTCTTTCTACATTTTTTCCCTTACAGCAAACAGAATCATCAAGTTTGCAAAACCTCATCATTATTGCGGTAAAATTGGTTGTGGAAATGATCATTTGACCACTCAAATGTTAAAGACAGACGTTTTGCTTTCCACTCTTCATGTAGCGTTTTTCAGATAACCAAAATTTTACGGATGCCCTCAACCTGGGAAGCACTGTGTAGGCCGAAGGAAAGACTATAGGAATTTTTACACTGGAGTTTAATATGCTCTCAAGAGTTCTAGGCTGCTTATGCTCCAACAGTTATGTGAGCCCCAATATGGTCAGAGATCTTTTACCGAGTTTTGATATGGAAGTCATTCGAGGTCAACATCGTCTCAAGTGCATGGCAGGGCACAGTGTCCAATCGACAGGAAGCTTGAAGGGGCGTTGAAAAAGTTTTCTGTTGCTTATTTAAGTTCCTGAAACTTCGTTCTTTCGAGCACCTACGGAATCCGTTAGCTTAATATGGACAATTCGATGGAGTAGACCTCAACGTTACGGGAACCAAGCAATTTTTCCATTTACGTAAAAAAAATAATAATCGTTCAGCTGTGGCACCCTTTCGGTCCCTAGCTGCCATGCCACCCGCAGGAAGCACGAGGGTTGGGATACTGCCAGGTTGCCCAAGCCTAGACAGGGGAAGTCGAGAGGCAGAGGTCGGGTTCAAACCATGGACCTTCCGGTCAGTAAATTCGCGCTCTAACCACTTCGGCCGTCTGCGTGCGCGCATCCTGTTAGCACAGAGATGCAGATAAGTTCGCCGGTTCAAAACACCCTATACATCACTCGTAACCCGACAAATACCTAAAGTGAAGTCCTAATTTTGGTTACCAAGAAAGGGTTTCTGTGATGAACTTAATACTTCCTGCGCCGATCTGGTGGTTTATTCTAGTCCGGTGCTTATCTCATCTGGCTGGTAAAATGTAAGACGTTGTAAATCCAAAGTAAGTTTGTGCCCAGTAAATCTTTTGACGCCTCTGATTGTGTGCAAATCTTATATGGTCATTTGATGTAGATATTTTCG